TTAGAAATTAGAGAAGAGAAAACTGTATTACAAACATATTCCAAACACCCCCCACAGTTTCTTTGATCTTTCATAGTAGCACCATGACAAAGATCCTGACCAGCGTAATTGTCCAATCCACCAAGCATTTGCTGTCTGATAGAAGAACAAAAAACTCCTCAAACAGATGTTTAGTGCACCCAACCAACTCAAGTAATAAGACTACCATACCTATCTGTATCAGATTCAAAAGCACCAAAGTATAAAACTGAAAAGAAACATCAAGAAAAAAGGAGAGAGGAACAATTTGCACAAGCCCTAATGCATTGAGAATTAGTGTTGGCTTTCATTCTATAGAGCCTACAAAACATCAAAGATCAACTACACTCATTGAAGGTTTAACAGCATGGTAACATCAAAGATCAACTACACTCGTTGAAGGTTTAACATCATAGTAAAAAAGTATGAACGGAAGCTAAGATGCAGAGAGTGGAATTGGCTTCATAGCACTTCGAATCCGACGAAACGCCATCTTCACACGTTCTTTTAGACCTTCATTTTCGCTTTCAACATCACCAGTCTGTTTATCGAGATGAGCCACAGTCCCATCAACACTTATCACCAGCTTCCCATCCTCTCCAACCTTAACATCTCCAAAGAGAGAAACGAGGAGTGAGCGGATGATTTTCTCTGCTTTCTTCTCATTTTCTGCTTCATTTGTTTCAGGCTCCGACTCCACCACCACCTTAGGCATCTCCCTGCTGGCATTTAAAACCAGAGCCACAATAGAGTCCGACACCATATCACTAATAGGATCGGCCGTCCAATGCATTGAAATATGCTTTTCTGATTCCTGCTTCACTGTTACACAATCATGCACTCGCAAGGTTGGAACCCCAGATTCCTCATCTGTCGAACACTCCACACTCTCGTATATCTGCTTGAGTCTGTGTTTTATCACTGCAAAGGCACCTGAGTAAGGGATGGTAATCCTTTGTGTGACATTTGCAGTTGATAGTTGTGAGAACACATGAAGATCATCAGGTGCCATGATCTGATAAGTGAACCCTTTCTTTACCAGCAAACCACTGACAGTTTCACCAACTTCAGTGGTCTTTTCAGCCAGCCTTCCAATAGTTTTTGCCATTTTCTCGGAGTTGAAATACATTTCAACAGACTGGCAGTTCTTAGGAGAAATAATTTTGGTGTTGCCATCAGCAAACAGAGAAATAAGCTTCTGCTTGAGCCTCCCCATCTCATTGGCTTCTCCATGAACAAGAATTATGTTAGGAGGCATAAGCTCTTCCAAGAATGCACTCGTCTGGGCATAATCTGCATGAGCCGAGAAGGAAATGTAATGCACCTGCATGTTAAGAGGAGCAGTGAGGCCATTCATAAGGGTAACTTCCTTTGGTTCGTTAATGATCGTTTTTGCCAATGTACCTTCCACAACATACCCAGGAATAACGCAAGCATTTTTCTTGTCAGAGCACCACTTATCAAATAACTGTCGAGACAACCCACTCTGAAGCCCACTTGGGCTTGCCATCACAACCGATGGGCCTACATCATTAAAATTCTCAATACTACTCAGCGCCGATATGTGTTTGAAATCAAAAGGGTTTGAGTTGGCAAATTGATTGCGGATCCTCTCGTTCATGGCATTGATGTAGGTCTGATAAACAGCCATGCACCTTTTTGCAAGAGGGGAAGCATAGTATATGGGAATGTTATGGAGCTCGGGATGGTTTGACCAATATTCATCAAGGATCAGGAGGAGTTCTTGTGCACGGCCAAGGGCAAATGCTGGGATTAGGACACGACCTCCTTGTGAAAGGGTAGAGTGAATGACATCCGTGAAGCGCTTCTCTCGAATATGGCGCGGCTGATGAAGTTGAACACCGTAAGTGGATTCAATAATGCAAATGTCAGGGGAGAACTGTGGGAGCTCAGCAGCTCGGAGATGCCGGTCTTCTTCACGTGAATAGTCTCCAGTGTACAGGACTCGAACACCAGCAATGTCAACCATGAACATGGCAGCACCAAGGACGTGGCCAGCGGTGTAACACCAGAACCGGATACCATTTACTTCTAAAGTCTGATGGAAATCGATAACCTGCAGAAAGGGGGTTTGATGTGTTGCGTGAGACGAAGTTTACGATAAGTAAGTTGTGATTTTATTTACATGAGTTTACTATGTAGATATCCAAAAACTGCATGCAGAAGTGCTCCTGTAATGGTTGCATAAATAATTGGCTACATAACAGTTTCAGTCAATTTATGGATGCTCCTCTTTCTTCATTAGTTATAACTGACTGCATATCTGCTTGGATTGAATCATCTTTCATCTTAGCTGCTATAAAGTAGCTCCAATCTGGTAGAAGAAAGAAAAAAAAGGTCACGCCCCACCAACACTTATAGAGGATAGATCGACGACCAGAGACCACTTTCTTTGATTCTCCATTCTCTCAAAGCTTGTATCTCTATTCTCCAAACCTCTGAATTAATAAAATACCCGGCAACTGAAGCCATTGAAGAGTGGACGTATGTCGAATTGACCGAACCACTATAAATTGTGTCTTCTTTAATTCTTTCATCGATTTCACTGCATTTATTATCTACACTAGACAGGTGGTGTGCAAAACCATTTTTGTGCATCATCAATAGCGATTAAATAAATTTTTTTGCGATTGTCGGATAAATTTATTCAAGTTTGCTCTATTTTATATTATAGATCAGTCACTTCCATGGACATCTATATAATAAAATACATAGCAATTTGAATTTTTATCTTCTACATATTTTCTCCTTAAAAATATTATTTCACTTATTTCTATCACATGTTTAATCATTTACATATTTTACTCCTAAAAATATCACATCACTTATTTTTATCATATCTTTAATTATTTAATATTTGATTAATTTGTAGTTAATATAATTTTTACTTCAAACATTATCCATATACGATAGTATACATATGTTGAAAAAATTCAATATAGTAGAATCGATTTTTTAGACACTTGAATTGATATCTTATTATGTCTTTAAACACGAATTATGACTAGTATACATATAATGAAAAATAATTTTGTTGGAGTTGAATAAGTTGAGAATTTGAAGCATGTCCAGCCAGTAAAAATTTTTCCTTCCCAAGACTTTGATGCAAATTGATGTGTAGTGGAAGACTGTCCAAGGAAGAGTAAGTCAAGAGAGGATCTGTTAGGCACCCCCCCCCCCCCCCCCAAAAGAATCAGCTACAGCATTACCTTCCCTATAGGTCGGTATGAAAGATTTGAAAATCAAATCCACCAAAGGATGAGAAAAATTTGATTTAAAAGAGATTTGATTTGAATTTCCATGGTGACTGTGTAGTCTGTTTGATCAAATCCACTAGTATTTGAGCATCAGTTTGGATGACAATAGGATAAGGGATTTGAATATGGTATCGAAATTTATTATTGATGATGTTTATAACGCGACAGAGCAAAATGATGGATTCAATGTGCACCGAATGGTTCAATCTGACGCTCTTCTAACCCGTTTTCTATGTGCCAAGAGCCACCCATGACTCGCTGGAATCGATTGAATAGCCCCTGAAGTAATTTATCACCGATCCTTAGGCTCCTTTGGCCATTTTGATTCTTCCTTTATCACAGGATCGTCAACTACTGAGACATACGAGTTCACCACGGTAGAAATCTATATTTTCATCTATTGTGCGAAAATCATCGCGCACATTTTTGTTTTGATATCATATGTACTGAAGTTTCATGATTTACAATAATTAGCTGCTTCATATGTTTTTGGAGTCTATCTTCTAAAGTTTTGGGTTTTCTGTGATCATCTTTTAACAGCACATGTTAAACACCTGCAACTGATCATCGACTACCATCACAGTTTAGGAACAAATGACATCGACATCTAGCATTACACCACTGGTCATGTTGTTGGTACTTTGAAATTGATTGCAGATGTTGCTGGTGCCCAGACATTCCCATGGAGATGGTCCTGTCCTGCATTCATGCTGGTGAGATCCCTAAATATCTATGGACATTTGTGAAACCAACTCCTTTCATGGTTACAGATCTCGTCAGCCTCTTCCCTAATGTCATCCTTTTGACCTTTTCTAGAACCAGGTTTTTTCGTTTGGAGGTGTTCAGCCACTCATTTTTCTTAAAAAGAGTGTTAGGTAATTTGTAATGGCCAATTAGTCTTGATGAGGTCTCCAGTCTGTCTCTTTGTCCCCCATGTACCATGGTTTCTACTGTCTTGTGTATGAGACGATTTTGCAAGCTGATTTTACTTCAAGTGCATATAGCCTTCACAAAGTAAAAGGAATATGATATAGACTGGTTGGGGGTGATGCCAACCTGAATGGGCTTCCAATGGAATATAATATAGACTTGAAGAAAGCTATGTGCGGAGTTATGATTTTAATGGAACTGATAGAATTCACTGATGACTCCGAGGATGTAATTCCAACTCATGGTATCTCTGTTTCTCCAACTTCACTCATCGGTACCATATAAAGGAGAAGGACCTCACGCAATTTCGGAAGAGCTCATGCTTTCAGGCATAACTTTTGCTCAATTTTACTGACATGTGGAGGCTCAAACAGGAGCATATCATGGTCTGTTGGCTGAAACTTGGGAAAATTTTCTCTCTATTAACACTACCAGTTTGTTGAAATTTATTATAATGTTTGGGGTCTGGAAGATCATTGAAGGGGAACACAGAGTCCACCTGCATATCACACGAAATGATGGAGGTTCCATCACTACAAGTGCATGAGAAGGTGCATGACAAGGCGACACAAGAGCAACAGTGGCGTGTCTTAAAACTTACTATCTCTCTACACTACATCTGCTGGAAAAATTCATGGTAATCAGAGGCCATAAAAATCGGATGTGGAAGAATAAAAGAGGGCTGAAAGAAGGTTACATATTTATTCGTATCTTTTGCCTTGGTTGTGTGATTTTGGAATAGAGTCAGAATCTGGTGAATGAGAGACCAAGAGTTCAGCGGTATGCGGCACATCTTGATGAAGTGAGTGGAGGTATCATGGATCAAGGGAGTGAAAGCTTTTGGGCTGAATTAATGGTCTTACTGCAAGAATAATGACACCATGCTAACAGATCGATGTTGCTGCAGACCTGATCTCTCTTGTTGTGGTCTCAAACATGAATGCCTTGTGTGCGCTTTAGGCAAAAACCTGACTACCCAATATTCGCAAGCTAGGGAATGTGGATTGCAGTAACTGCAATGCAGGGGCAACATTTCTTTTTCTTTTTTCTAACTAATTGTATTTTTTTTCTTAGTTCAACGGTCAAGGGTGTCCAGGACAGTTTATGTGCACTTCAACTAATCTTGTTTTTAGTTCGGTTAAAGGAAGATCATCCACACCAAGATTAGAGTATTCATGAAAGATAAATCTTTCATATAATCGTCAAGATTCAAATTCAAGAAGTCTGAGTTTATAACTTTTCTATACAAAATGTGCAATAAGGTGAGCTCGCTTCAGTGTGATGTGCGAGTGTAGTCTATTGTGCCTAATTTATTTCGTTATGTTTTGTTGTTTTAGCTCTCGTTATTGTATATTCTTTTGCCAATTGTCAGGTAAAAAATAATCACGTTTTTTGTCTCCCTAGTGATCCATAGTTCCTAACATCCCATTAAAAGTTCTCAATATAGCTGAGCAACGATTGGTATTATTTCCATCTTGGCGAGTTACATACTCCCAACATGAATCACTAGCTGGTACAGAGATAGGTTTTCTTTTCTTTGTCAAAGAACTAAAACAATGTAAATTTGATCCAACTTTTCTTCTATTGCTTAGACATTGTCTTGCAAATAACTTGGCGCAAATTGTGCTTCTTGGAACTTATTTAGTTCTTCAACCACAAGAAGGTGAGGTCGACAATTTATTTGACAAATATAGAATCAGAACAAATGGTTTTGTGTTTATTACAAACCCTTCCTCCCAAGTTGAGACCAATTATTCATATAAATGAGAGTAAACTAATGATTTCAGATATTAATGAACTCTATAAAAAAGTTATTTATCGAAACAATACTCTTGCCGATCGATTGACAAGTAGATCTACACGGGGAGAATTAGAACAATTGGTACAATAAACCATAGATACACTCGATAATGAAATCTTGACAACCAATGAGAGACAATTCATTTTCAAATGTAATTGAAGGCAAAGAGAAAAAATTTAGCATGACTCTATTTGGAAAATGGATCAATTATTCATAGCGTTCTATTCTATCATTGTCATGGGCCCTTCGCTTTTATTCCATCGACGTTAATTACCACAAAAAATAGCAATATAACTTCCCTAGACATTTGTCATTTGTCATCTAATTAGACAACATCTTGCTTTAAATATAGGAGTTGTTGACTAAAACCAACCCCCATAGTAAATTTCAAATTATGGATTCCCGAGTGTTTTTTTTTTCAATGCCAATTAGGATGATTGCATCCACATTTTTCTTGCAACCATTTAATGGCAAGAATTCAAATAGATGAGAAGAAAAAACATATTAATCAAATACAAATTCTCATTTGTAACAGAGATAGAATTGCTTTAAATACCAAAGTCAAAATTCTCTAAAACTAAACATTGTTGAAAAGCACCATTCACTGTCGCAAAATTATAGAAATCCAACCATCCATGATCCTTCCAAGCTCAGGAAATCGAAAAGAATGGAGATGAGGCTGGGTTTAAGACAAGTGAAATACATCCAACTTTTCCCGTAGAAGGGCCCTTTTTCTACTCCCCCCAACCTGTTGCAGCAGGAGGAGGAATAACAGGAATCTCGGGCCCAGGAATAGGAGCTGCAACGGTATCCCATCCATCAGCAGAACCTCCCACCGCTGTTCATAAGATAGATGGTCAAAATACAAAATAAATCTGGTCAGAAACACTATCAATGTATACAAAAAAGCAAACAAAAAAGCAAACAAAAAATCAAAAGCATTTGCAAGAAACTGCAGACAAAACCACTGGGTCTCAATCCAGTGGTTTGTGGAAAGAAGAAAAAGAAAGGAAAAGGAGAGAAGCGAGTAAATAAGCAGAAGACCAAAAGTGTAGGCAAAACCTAAAGGGATCAACCAAAATCAAAGTGATGAACCTATTCTTATAGGCATCTGACAAATATTACCAAACTAACATGTTATAAGAAAGCTCAACATGAGCATTATTACAAAGCAAAAAAGACCAAAGACTAGAATTGCAAGACGACCCACCCACACCGATGCTTTCATGTTTATATTCATTACTTAACCTACAAACAACACCGAGAGATAAGGAGATTGAGCATTTCATCATTTTCATCAAATTAGAATGGATGACAATAATACTCACCAGCATCCTGGGTCCAACCAGCATCAGCAACAACAGCTGGAATGGAAGGTGGAGCTATGTCAGGGTTCCATTGTGCATCAGGGATTTGACTAACCCACTGATCGGCAATACCAGTAATAGCTGAAGCAGAATACTCATATTCTTGGGCCACTGGTGCTTCCTCCTCTTGTTCTTCTTTAGCCTCCTCAGGCTCCCTGTAGAAAAATAAATCCACCTGCACATAGGAAAGATCAACATGAAATGAATAGAACCTCAAGGATACTGAATCTATAGTTGGTCCATGTAATATTTATTTATTTTTTCATGTTTCACTAGGTGAAAATCAAATCCACTAAACTAAACATGGCAATCAACCATAGAAATTTCGTCAAACTTTAACTAAGCATGTAATCTATCATGATAGAATGCATCAGGTGTATCCCTCCAGAATTTGAAGATCTAGAACACAAAATATGAATATTTACCATCACATCCCACTTATGCCCTTGGGCAATGACACCACGCATCTGCAAGACCATCCTTGCTAACAGCCAGAACAGACAACCAATGCTGTGCTTCCCCTTGTTATTGGCAGGAATACCAATGTCGACATATCGCATTGGGGAGTCTGTGTCACAGAAAGCAATAGTTGGAATATTCCCAAGTGCACCTTCCTTAATAGGCTGCATAAATTTTGTGACCAAGTCAAATCTGGATCACACGATCCATAAATCAACCAAGCAGATAAAATAAACAATTGCCATCAAAGGAAATCAACTTAAGGAAACTTTTAGCATTGATGGAAATAAAGTTAAAATACAATATTCATGGCTCACCCAACAGGTACCTACAAGCTTTGTGCCAGAAGCATCTCTTAACATAAAGACCAACAATTAAACAATCAATGGTATGATACAAAAACAGACAATTCACGAAGAGGCCCTAACCTGGTGGTCAGTTCTTGGATCAGTGAGGATGAGAAGACGAGGCTCACTGAATGAAGTCTGAAGCTGATTAGTGAAAGTACCTGGGGTGTGGCGTCCAGCAATCGCATGAGCTCCAGTGTATTGGGCAAACTTTAAGACGGCTCTCTGACCATAGGGTCTTGCCGACTGAACAATAATGTCATGTGGGTTCTCAATTGCCACAATAACCCTAGCAGCCATCTGAAGTTTCTCCCATGTTTTTCCAAGGTTGATAATATAAATTCCTGCACATTAAGACAGTGGGGGGGAGAGACACTATTAAACAACATGGGTATAAAATTAAGAATTGGTTTTATTATTATCCAATTGGGTACAGTGACAGTGTTGTTATGCCAATAGCAAACAAGACATGAAACATAATTTTGACAACAGGATTCTCCATCAAATATGACATTCAGTGATGCCATCCATGTAAGATGTTGAAAGCTCAACACAAGCCTGACTAGAATTAATTGGCAGTTTCTGTATAAAAGAGAACATTAATGCCAGTTAAGTATAATCACGATTATGTTTGTCTCCACAATCCATTTACTTTACTAGATTTTATGGGGTGAAAACATAAAGATCAAGCAAAATTTGTTGCAAGGCCATTGAAACAGTGCACTTCATTTTTCCTTTCTGTTCTTTACAGTATGTATTAACCTGATGCACTTGATTTTGATCTGTAGCCTTCAAATCCACTACACTAGAGCATTGAAAATGGTATCAACTATCAACACATGCAAAATTACCTCAACAGAGTAGTGCATTAACAACCCAATCACACTTTATCTCCACGTAGGAGTAAAAAGAGAAATTGTGCAAACATAAAATACAAAGCACCTATCCCACAAAAACAAGTACGCCTATAATTTTATATATATGACACATCCTGCTTACACACACTATAACAACGGCCCAGATCCTTTAAATCCGACGATTTATATTACAACTTACATTTTAAACTTTTAACCACAATAATGCAATCAATTTAAAATTTTTAACCACAGTAACTCAACCAATATATTAAAAAAACGTGCAAAGCACGGGAATACTCCAGTGCTTACATAAAGCACAACAACAATCTAGATCGTTTAGATCCAGTTATAATTTATATTTTATATTTTAATCTTCAAACCACAATAACTCATTTAAATTTTAACTTCTTTAATCATAGTAACATTTAAAATTTAACTTTTTATCCAATAATAACTCAACCCAATAATAATTCAACCCATGTATTAAAAAATGATAAAAAAAGACGTTCTTTGCACGGGAGACACCCTTGTATTTTCTCATCAAGTTTCTTACCCAATTTTTCATCCCAAGTGATGCGACACAATCTCCAACATTGAATATTAATGAGACTCACTTATTTGAGGGTGAAAATTATACAAAATTACTTGGGATGAAAAACAAACTTGGTCAGTATAACACAGTTGTTTTCATATATTAGATGTCCTATATTCGGCCAATACACAAGCAGATACACGCTACAAGCATATTAAATTACACTTAATAAAGAACTAATTCAAAAATGTAACTTGAACCAAACCAATATTACCCAAATCGTAATTCGTCAAGTCAATTACCCACGCATGAAATAACACAGATCTACCATAATGAGATCTATTAACCTACTGAACTAAATTAAACACCAAATATAGACGAAACATATGTAGAGTAGATTACTAGATGAAGCCCAATCGATTATCATAAGCATGCCATCACTACATCAAGCTAGTCTCTCCGCAATAGATCAAATTCTAATAACAAAATCAAACGACAAACACGCGTTGTTTGCTTTAACGATTGTACATTTACAAATCAACAAATAAGCAGAAAATTCTATATTCATACCGTCATTGCGGCGCTTGAAGGCGTAGCGCTCCATCTGGAAGTCGCAGTTCTTGGTGCCGAGGTGGACTTCGGCAGCCAACATCATCTGTATGTCGGCCTCCTTCGTCGACAGTGCCCTCTGTTGAGTAGTCGCCATTGTTGCTACCTTGATTCTCTGTCGTTCGTTTGGGGGTTTTTTTTTTTCCTGAAGAAGAAGCCCTATAACAGGATTGGAGCTGCTCAATCAAAGAAATGAGGGTTTTTTCTAGGCGAAGTGGCTTCGGAGTGAAATATAAAGCCGTTTTGTATTGAAACCCTAGAGACTTTTTCTGACGAAATTAACCCTAGTTCGTTTGATAATTACGTGGATCGGTCCTGTTGAAGCTAAACCGGTGAACCATTTTTGTTGTACATTAGGTTGGGCTGAACCGGTGAACCGTATATATATTGGATTGGGCCTTTTCGTCTCCAGCCCATTTGTTGGGCCGATTGTAAGACTTGGCAAACTGTATGGACATGCCCATAAAGTATGGTGGGCCTAACGCCCTATTGGCCCATCATAAGAGTGGGCAGCTCGTTAGTATACTGGGTTGGGTTGTTTGCTAAATTTTGACCCACATAAGTTTGTTGGATAGGCATAAATGAATTAAATCAACAAATTAGGTCAATAAATTAGATATCAATTTTATTTTTTATTTTATTTTATTTTTTTTGGGAGAGGGGGAGGGGGATTTGAACTCTTAACCTCAAGAAGACAAAGTCTTCATAAGGTAAGGAGTATCATTAGACCAAAGACCTGTCGGTAATAAAATAGATATCAATAACATAGCTCATTGATCAATAGTTTCCCGTTGCTGCCGCAAGTGCTTGTTTGCGTAGGGGTGGAGCGAGACTGGAGGCAAAAATATAAATGAAAAAATTAATCAACTTTTATTATTCCGTCAACAAGGATTAAAATGAGTGTTATATCCATAAGTCCAGGTATAAGAAATACAGAATCAAAGAACAGTACGAGGAATGGGGAGAATTACACTTTGTACTCTGAAAGATTTTAAAATTTTTATTTTATTCTTTCAAAAATTAAATATTACATATTGTATCCCTTAATGTATCAAAAGTGTTGTAATATAACACTTATATGTTAGCTTTTCCGTAAGTTTTTTCGTCAGTGTTAATGAGTTGGTTTTTGACAAAAAAAATAATGAAAACTAACAAAATGGTCGTATTGCAACATTTTTAATACATTAATGGTATAATATGAAAAATTTTATCTTTGAGAGTGTAAAGTGGGAATCTTAAAATCTTTTAGAGTGTAAAATGTGAAAAGCCCTGAGGATTATATTAAAATTTAAGACTATAAACATTAAAACTAGTATCATTTTCACATTAACAAAATATGGACAAATAAAGACAATAATATATTAAATAACAAATGCATTTTTTCGTCAATATTTATGAGTGAGGGCATTCCACATACTTGTTATACTTGTTATATCCTCTAACGCTTTATCTTACCAGTTATACCTGGTATAAAATTGTTCCATAATAATTCAAGACAACATGAAAGCAAGAAAATGATAGTGATAACTTTAGGAGCTAAGTCATGAAAAGTCCAACGTGTCATGCTAGGCGTCCATACAAATCATAAGTTTGTTGGGCCAAATTGAAATATTACCTGAAGATACCCAGAATATGCTTAAAGTTGAGCTTGGTCAGTCAGTTCGAACCTTCCAAGCTCGAGTCACTCAACTCATTACAAATAACCAGGGGAGTTCATCTTGATGTCTCTACCCCAGCAGCTGCACCTCCACAAGAATAGCATGGAAGACAGCTGACTTCCACCCAAGCACCGCACATAACGTAATGGTCCTATATTTGGGTAAAGAAGTTGGAACCGTTCTAACGATGTCCATGTCAATCGCATAAAAGACACAATGATTACAAGAAGAAGGCAAGGATCACACCAAGGACCAAGTAAGACCTTAGTCTACTATAAATAAGAGGCACATTCTTCACAATAGGACAGACAACTAAGCTTAAGCATTACTTTGTGTAAATCTCCCTTTTTATCAATAACATCATTTCCAAGAGTAAGAGACTCTCTTGAGAGTAGATTAGCCAAACTCCGGAACTGGTAAACCACTATAAACTCTTTGTGTGCAAATCCCCACTTCCTTGTTCAAATCTTAAGAGCCTTGGAGCTCTGACTATGCCATTTAGTGACCACTAATCCCTAAATATCATAAGCTCTGCTCAATTATGCCACACAAACCATCACTTGAAGCCGTCTATGGGAATGATTGTTCCTGTAAAAATACTACTGATATGTTTAGTAATTGATGGTTTTTACGTGCAATATGAGCAGAAGTCAGATGGACCCTCTTTGTTTACAAAATCAACAAGAAGTCACCACTGAAAGATAGTAGGAGAATCCTCACGATCTCCTACCTAATCCAGAGATTGATCCACATAAAGTGGACCCTTCTCCAAATAATGAACTAGAGGCCCTTCGTCAAGCCAACCAGTGTCTCCTCCAGCAAATCAGGAATTGTTAAACCTCATCCACGCCCAATATCCTCAGAGGGCGCAACTAGCCCAGAACGATTTCCCACGAGGGGAACATCAACACCCCTAATCCTTAAAGGGATATTACGGAAGGGGATGAGCACAATTGTTCAGTTAGCAATTTCCATCGTCAGATTTAAAGGAATAAAGAAGACAAGGAAATGCAAAGTCATAACAGGGAGACTCATAGGAACGAGTTCCCCCTCATTCTAGCAGTGGAGGAATGAGTAATTCTGGGAGCAATGCTTCAAGGAGATCCAGCAGGAGCTCAACCATAAAAAGGAGGCTGTAAAAGGCAAAACTCCGATGACTATGGACGCCCTGACCCAACAGACAAAGTCTTCATTCACTCTAGGAATGCTATACTTTTTTCTTCCACCAAAATTCAGAATGTCACAGATAAAGGCCTTTGACAGAACAAAGGATCACATGGATCATCTCAACACCTACAAGAAGCAGATAAAGTTGTATGGTTATCAAGGCCTAGTGCGGTGTCGAGCTTTCGCCATCACTCTGAAGGTCTCAGCCTTAGCCTAGTTCAATAGGCTGACCCCAACATCTATTTCCTCATTTAGAGAACTCTCTATTTCATTCGTATCACACTTCATTGGAGCTCGAACCTACCAAAAATCGAACTACCACTTGTTGAATGTGAAGCAAAGGCCAAATGAGACACTACGAGCTACGTCCAATGGTTCAACTTGAAATCCTTGCAAGTAAACATCCCCAATGAGAAGTTTGCCCTCACTTCCCTCATTTTATAGCTGAGAATCCAGTCAAAAGACTTGATGTTCTCCATATCCAAGAAACCATAAGCCAGTATAGCTGAGGTCCTAGCTAAGGCGGAGAAATACATTAATGGCGAGGAAGTTATTCTCTCAAAAATTGGAAGCTCTACCACCCATTAAGAAAAAGAGAAGAGAAAGGACCGCAGTCCAAGGAAAGAGAAGAACCAAGAACAATCTCCACAAAGAGACAGAGATTGTTCTCCCAGAAGGAAAGGGGCATTAGAGATCACCTAGGACCTCCACCTCAGGAGCTGCAACCAAGGTACGCCCAAAGACAGCTCACTCCCCTCAACGCCATGGTGTCCCAAGTACTCTATGAGGTACAAAATGAAAAGTTCCTGAGATGGCCACCTCGGATGAAGGCTGACCCCGCCAAGCAAGACATAACGAAGTACTATGAATATCATTGGGACCATGGCCACCTCACTGATGATTGCATCTAATTGAAGAAGGAGATCGAGTTCCTAATTCAAAGGTGACAATTGTGCCACTTCGTAGCACAAGACAATTAGAACCAAGCTCACCCACCTCCAACACCTTTGCAGCAGGCCCCTCCACAGCACCAACCCTTAGGAGAAATCAGGGTGATTTCAAGAGGATATGTAGGGGAAAAACCAGCTCAACCAGGAATGTCCATAGGCAAAAAGTTCGAGCTTAAGATGTTTTGGAGATACAATCTGTGTCTAAAAAACCTTGGCTAAGTATGGATATCACCTTCTCAGACTTAGATCTAGAGAGCTGTCAGCACTTTCACGATGATCCCTTAGTGGTCAGAGCTATCATTGCCAACAGAACCCTTCATTGGGTACTTATTGACAACGAAAGCTCTGCTGATATCATCATTGCATCAACCTTTGACAAGATGGACATTAGCAGAGACAAACTCGAGATGGTAAGAACTCATCTGCTTGGATTGTCTAGCGAAAAGGTGTTCCCCCTAAGCTCGATCCAACTTATCCTCATTGCTAGTCAACGATGACTGTAAGATTCCTGGTCATGGATGCTCCTTCAACATACAATGTCCTCTTGGGGAGACCTTCTCTTAATTCCATGAGAGTAATTCTTTCTGCTTATCACTTTGTGATAAAGTTCCCTACTGAAAATGACATTGGGGTGGTCTGAGGAGACCAGTGAGTGGCACGAAAATGCTACATGGCGTCTATGAAGAAGAGGGAGGTCGAAACCATATAGTTAGAAGAGCTTGACATGAGAGACGAGGTGGAGACAAGATCCATACCCTCAAAAGAGCTGGAGCCAATCTAACTCGATGAGAACCTAGGACATTTAGTGTACATGGGGTCAAGATGTTTAAGGAGATTAAAGACCTCCTTATTCAATTTCTAAGAAAGAATATGGAGGTATTCGCGTGAAAATAAGAGGATATACAAGGGATTGACCCTTTAATCATTACGCACAAACTCAACGTGAATCCGACCTTCAAGCCCATCAAGCAGAAGTGAATAAACTTTGCTCTAGAGTGCCAAAAAGCCATAAATAAAGAGGTCTCCAAGCCTTTCCATGCCAAGACCATCAGAGAGATAGATTATCCAACCTAGTTGGCCAATGTGGTCCTTGTAAAGAACACCAACGACAAATGGTACCTCTGCATTGATTTTACTGACCTAAATCGCGCCTGCCTAAAGGATAGTTTTTCATTACCAAGAATCGATTTGATTGTAGATGCCACAGTAGGGCATGAACTACTTAGTTTCATGGATGTCTTCTCAAGGTACAACTAGATTATAATGGATCCTAATGACCAAGAGAAGACATCCTTTGTAACTGAGCAGGGGACATAATGTTATCAGGTCATGTTGTTAG